CTAGCTACCCCACATGGAACGTGTTAAAGGCTTCAATTTGCCTACCCTGCATTATTATATCATTCAACATAACTCCAGATGCAGCTTGGCGTTAAAAAAAGACGTTGGCGTTAACGTCCGACGTCACTGAAGGTTTCTGCAAATAGGGCCGGCTCAAGCAAAGGCGTTTTTGAGCAACGCTTGGTAACCGAGTGAGGCCTTTTTCATAAATTGTGCACGCGACAATCCCGAAAGGTAATATGGGATATGAACAATACACTGTTCCTGACGACTGTAGCTGTCGAACCTACTTTTGTTGCTTTCCTTTAGCACTCGCAACCACATTTCCATGGCCTTTCGTGCCAATTCTTTCAAATTTCTTTGAAAAAAAGAGAACTCAAAAACGCTCACAATGCCTTTCAGGATTGTCTCGTGCACTTTTCCCGACAACCTTTCTCCAAATCGCTGTATTGCTAACTTTCATTGCCCTTATAGAGACGATTTGCTCGAAAATTTGGACTAAAGAACCACATAAGAATGCATAAACTCCGCTCCGGTTGCGCGAAAACGCCTCTGAAGCCCCGAGTAGACACTTGCGCGCGCATAAAAATTTATCATCAGGCACAATGTGCGCTTACTGACATTATTACTATTTTAGTAATTTTTTTCACGGTACCTGAAATAGAAAATTAAATACATAAGTTTTAACTGACCTTGGTAAGCAAATGACGGTACAACAAAGACTTTTATGGGAGGTGACTATTCACTCTTTTCGACGCGAACGTTACGATTTCATACATTTACGTCAATGCATGTTCTAACTTAAAAAACGTAACAAATGAAACCAAGGCAACGAAAAGTATTTTCTAGTTAGGGTTTTGCGTGCTCTATAAAGCTCAGTGCTTACCGTGAGTATTTCACCAGAGATTTTACAGTAACTGTTGAAGTTTGTATTGGGGAAAATGTGCGGTTCGCTTCTTTCCAAGTTTAATAAGACGAAGAACCAAATTGATCCAGCGGTTCATTTATTTTCCGGGCGAAAATTTTCGGGCCGTTCTCGCGAAGATTCGGCGTGTTTCGAAGACAGAGGCTTTTGGAAGGATGGGGATGGAAATGCTGAAGGATCAAGCTGTGATACTTTGGCGACATCTTCATGTGATAGCTCTGAAATGAGCGAAACTGATTCCTCTTCGCAGGAAGACATAGAAGCCGCTGTGCGCGTTTTGGACAGGCCGGTTTTACCGTCAGGACACAACAAATCAGTCAGGCTTCCCGTGATTGAGAGTTATATCAATGAAGAGAAGATGCTAATGGAAAGTGCCCGTCAAATCCTGGGGTGTCAGGGATATGCTACGTATATCTCATCAAGCTCAATGACGGTGGCTAAGCCCATAAGTGCAACTAATTCCACTTTGCCAGGAAAGGTGAACACGGCTGTCGCCTTTGATATACCTTCCGGCAGCGATAAGACGGTTTGCCCGTCTGCCAGAGTTCCTTGGCGCTTAAGAAGGCACAGAAAAGTGGTACCCGAGCTAACTTTACAGGTAGTTAGAGAGAAAATGCGCGCTGCAGAAGAAAGAAAGCTGAAGGAACTTGAACGCATCCGAGACTGTGCGCGTAGCAGGGCTGGAACAAACCGACCACATCCTGCAGAGGCCACGTCAAAAGCAACAAAAGAAAAAATTGCTTCCAAGCTGGTGGCAGCTGAGATCAGGCGTAATGAAGAGATAGAGAAGCGAAGAGAAGCTGGCAACAGAGCTTCGCGAAGCAGGAACAGAATTGCAGCAGCCCAGGCTTTTGCAAAGAAGCAAGAGCGTGAAGCTTCTAGCGCGCGAAAAATGGAAAAGATTGAAGAAAAGAGGGCTGAGTACCAACAGAAAAGTGACAAACAAAAGAAACTCAAGAAAGAGCATGTGACATTCGAGGACAAGGTAAGGAATTTCATACCATAACAGTACTAATATACCTGCGCGTCCCTGACGGCGATTCCAGAGAGGACAGACGGCTGTATGTTAAAACAGGCTAACCATCGATTTAAGGTTTATTTCAAATTCAGCTTTTGGTTTTCACATTTTAAAGCCAGTCTAAAATTGAAGAAAACCACTATGCATGATAGAGGATTTGTAAACTAAATCGGCAGAATTTAATCAGGTTAAAGGACTACCAAGAGTTCCAGGGATTTCTTTACGTTCAAAATAGGTGCACCGTCGGTATCAAATCGTTGGAAAAGGCGCATTTGGAAAAAAAATAAGAAGCAAAAAGTAAAATCCTGCGGGATTCATTAGGAATATATAGATGCCAAAGTCACACAAGTTAAAAATTCAAAAGAATAATTATATTATTTGATGAATTAAAAGAGATTTTTTTTTCTTTGCAGGCAAAAGAAATAGAACAAGACGTCCCTAAAAGCGTAAAACAATCCCGGGATAACGAAAATACTGAAAGTCACGTGTTCTCGGACGACGAACGCGATCATGAGCAGAAAGTCTGCTATGAATGGGAAGATTTCTTCGACGACTGAAAAATGAAAACATATTTTTGTACATTTTTTTTTCATTTATTTTTCTTAATGACTTATTTCGACTTATATTCTGTTAAGAATGTAAAATCCCCACTTGAGTATCGTTCCATTCCGCGTTTCATGAAGTTAGACTGCACGCCATAAACGCTAGTTATGCCTTAGTTATTGCATTTGATACCGTTTTTCGATCCGATTGAAACTGTTACCGAATGTGACTAGTCCAAACTACACCGTACTTGCTATGTTTAATGTGATACATACCGAGCCTGTAGTGCAAATAATAAAGACTCTCATCGAGAATTCAATGAGGGTCTTCATTATTTGCACTACAAGTTGCATTTTCCATTCTCAGAATGAAAAGTTGTTAGAAACTTGTAAAGATAAAATAAACAATTTTCCCTTACCAAGAAATTCTTTTTATTTTTTAAAGATTCAGGTTCTGATTTTTAAAACAGAAAGGAGAAAGTATCCTACATTTACAGTCAAGTCTTTCTTTATAGATACCTCCCTAAAAAGCACACCTTGAGTTAGTTAGTACCTGCCGTTCTTTAGTGATTTTCTTTAACTCCCCTCAGGAGGACACCACGGAGGCTTTTATTCATTATAACTAACGTTAATATGTCAAAACATTTCCTTCCCTTGCCTTTCGGATAAATTTCGGTTTCTGGGAAACTGTCCACTTACCCTTCCCCTAAGATAACATTTACACTTATTGAATGTTGGCTTAGGGGAGGGGTAGGTGGGTAGTTTCTCAGAAACCTAAGTTGATCCGCCTTTTCGCCTATGGGAGTGAGCAAAAAATTTACAACTCACCTCCTGACTTCACTCATACTTAATTCAACCCTACAGGATCCTACAGGGGTTCAAAAGGCAACAGAATCCCCAAATTATATTACCCCTCCCCCTCCCTCAGGTCATAAGTTTCCTCGGTTTGCATCTTCGAGCATGATCTGAAGGAATATCGCCGCAGTACTGATTTTGTCAACTGAATTTCTGAACCCCTTGTGATTGAGATATAAACGTACGTAGTAGGTAATGCATTTTCCCCTTTATTGGCCTTGTTATTTTGTTAAACGATCTGCAATGATGTCACGAGTGCCCCTCCCTTCCTTTCGATGGAATATTTCCTCAATCAAAATAAGATACCGTGTGGCACGAAATTTTTGCGAGTACTAATATTTGCGGCTTTTCCTTGTACAGTATAAAAGACAACACCACAGAGAAAGTAATTCCTTTCATAGTCAAACCACTTCTTTTAAGTCAGAGAAACTTTACGTTATATTTCTCCTCCCGACTTCACTGGTGCGTTTAACCAAACGTTCGCGATCCACTTGACACCTTCAATAACGTCACATCCGCCATGTAAAGTCATCCAATCAGCTCCTCCCATGTGATCCGCCCCATCATGCTCTAGAAAATGGTTGTACCACATGACCGCGGTCCCTTTCTTTGGCTTAATGATCAAATTAGCCTCGTGGCATCTTTTGTTCAGAGTTATGGAGTAGTTCCTAGAGTGAAATTTGTGCGGGTCATCAGCTACTGGAAAGGCTGTCTCGCCTCCTTTGATTACATCGTTCAAGTACAAGATTACTGTTATAAACCTAGGAAATAAGTAAATATGGTATAGGTAATTTGATCGTAGGGTGCTGTAACAAATGATTATTTTTTGGTGGGACACGAAAATACCCGGGCCAGGTTGTTCAAAGCTGGGTTAAGATAACCCAGGGTTAGTGCGAAATTTGAATTCAGATTTGAAAGCTTAAAAAGTAAATTCAGTTTAATTCTTTTTGTCAACAAGTTGGATGCTCTTCAAAATAACAAAGAAAATTATCCTAGAAAATGCTTTTGAACAAGAGAAAAAGAAAAAGGGTTAAATTTAACCCTGGGTTAAGTGCTAATCGGCCTTCGAACGGCTGTGCCCTGGTGCCAAGGACAAAAGTACCCTGGTCTTCGAGCGTAAAACATGCCTTCTAGTCTCCTAGTCAGCCGCCTTGCCCCAGGTCGCTAGCGATCGCTCTTTTGGAGTATACTTCAGTTAATCATTAAGAAAAGCGAGGGCGAAGGGAGTGATGGGAAGGGGACTGAAGACTTCCCATACTACCCGCTCGCGCTCTCCGCTCCTTCCCATCATCCTTCACTCTCGGACTTTTCACTCGTCTCCAGTAACCTGCTTTAAAAGTCCGTGTTCCCCTTTAAGCCTTAGGGAACGCCTGTGGAGGAAACAGTTCTAGTCAGAAGCCAATCGGTCATGGGCTCCTAAACGTCCAAGTGGAGTGCAAACATGCCAATAACATGCCATGGTCTTATAAAACAGTCTTGGTCCTAGAGCATAAACATGCCAAAAAACTGCATTCTTATTCGTACCTGCACAGGTGGCAGTCATCGTAGGCTGTTCCTCGGCAACATTCTGTTCTCTTTGCACCGCCGAAGGTTGTATCATAATGCACATTGTAATGCCCAAACGTAGAGTAACGCACGGCCTGAAATCAACGTGAAAATAATTAAGCAAAGGAAAAAGAGTAAATGACTATTTTAATCTATCCTCAGTTCCTTTTCTCTATTTCTTTTTCTTTCATTCATCTTCGACGTTTTTTCTTTTCAGGTGCGCAAGTGTTTTTTGGCGTTAAGGTCGCCACGCCGTTGATTTTATGAAAGAAAAACCGCGCAAAAACTAGCAGGGTATAACGCAATCGAGTTCCTGGGAGGAGTAACCTCAGGCCACGCAGACGTCTGGGTAGCTCACAGAGCTCAGTTGGGAGAGCGCCGGTCTGCTGAGCGGGAGGTCGCGGGGTCAAACGGCGGCCGGACCAACACTCAGCGTCCATTTCCAAACCGTTAGACTTTCCAGTCTTCTCGGATAAGGACGAAAAACCGTAGGCCCCGTCTCACAGCACTTTCACTTACCTGGTTCTTGCGAGACGTAAAAGAACCCACACCAATGTTCAAAAAGAGTATGGGACGAAGGTCCCGGTGGTGTGGCCAATCGTTCTTGGGATGGATGGGTTATCTGTAAGGAGAGATCTTAATATAGGGATAACCTCATGATCCTCCTTCAGGTGTCGTAATAACTACCTATAAACAGGGAAAATATTTTGCATATGATGACGTTCTTACGGCTGGGGCACAAAAGCGTGTGACAAAGCCCCAAGAACGTCTGCGTGAGGCTAGGAGGAAGGTCTTTTTAAAGCGTTTTCTCGGCCGTCGTAATAAAAAAAGAGAAAAATGAGACATCTTTTTTGTTTGTGGAGTGCAGTAAATGACGACTGAGAGTTTGAAGATAAGGTCATCACGCGATTACCCGTAGTTGCAGCATAATTTCACTGTAAACTCTGTATGATGGCAGACAGCTCTCTGAGAGTCCCGGAAGTGTCAGATTTAGAGATCAAACGAGTTTTGCTGTATAATTTTTTGCGTGACTGCATACAGGACACAAACATCTGCTGTAATATTAATTCATAACAGACCAACCTGAATGGGTTCACTTTTTTCAATCAACCTTCTTGAAAGACCCGTCAGTTTAGCAATTCTTTCTTGTAAGGTCTTCACTAGCGGTTCGTTTCTAGGCAAACTTGCTGTTTCACTAAATCGAAGATAATATCGAGGGGTTAACTTAAGCTCTTCCAAATGATACAAAAATTCCGAATAGACTGCATTGGTCAAATTGCCACACTCTTCTGGAACAATAAAACCATCCAAATCCACGTCAAATAGGCGAAAAATGGGCCTTGCGTCTTCGTTCGTTGGATGAACACGTTTTTCTCTGTCCATCATAGTGATAAACTCCTGCAGAGAAATTTTTCTGTCTTTGTCTTTATCAAGGTTTGCGGATCGAAACATCCTCCTGCAAAGTGCTGCTCTCTCGAAAGACAGGTTTCTTCCGTTCAAACTTTTTTCAAACTCTTCCCTTGGAATACCTTCTGCTTTTCCATAAACCGTTTCGCTGTCTTTGAGATGTTGCTTCTGCGTGATTTGGATGACTTCATCGCATTCCTTACGGCTTAAAAATTCCGGGATTTGGAATAAAAGTGGACGCAAACTCCTTGTCACAACGCGATACGTTTTGTCTTCGCTAAGATTTAACTCCCGAACATGGCCAACTTTCACTCCATCAAGTCTTACTAACCGATACATCGAATCCGTTGCCGAATGTCCAGCTTCATCGTAGCCATTCTTGGCACAAATTCGTGGCTTCCAGAATTTCTTTGTGTAGTTGCAGGAATCTTCCTTCACTCTTGAAATCGCCGAGGTTTGTCCAGAGCTCAAGGAGTGTATAAAGTAAAACTTTGGCAGCATAACCATAGTCACTAGAAATGATAAAAGTAACCTACGGATCTCGTGAAAATAACTCATTACTCGGCGTCTTTGCACTGCTGAAACAAAGTCACCTTTAAAAACGTAGCTACAATCACTCTTCCCCAACTGCCTCAGATCCCCGTTCTGTGAATATTGTCTCGTTGCACTATTCCCAAAGCGGAGATTGTTGGTCCGGCTTCAGTATACATTGTTCCATTGGCGAGTATTAACTCTGCCGAAAAGCCCAGATAAGATGCATTCAGGACAGCTAAAGTAACGCAACTTCTAATGAGTATCAAAACGAGGCCTTTGTTTTGGTACGAATTAGAAACAGTGGTCCTAAGAAGCTTCTTATCGCTTATGCCACTTTTTATTCTGAAGAACTGCAGACCGCCTGCGTCTGAGGTCAGCGATTGTTCATGCTTCATGCTTCATGGCCAAATAACGCATGGCCTGGAGGCACGTGGAGGGGCGCGGATATAGATTCACGCCGCTGCTGGAAAAAATTGAACGCAACGAAGTATCAATCATCAATGTGTGATTTGTGAGCGTACCCTGGGGCCCGTTTCTTAGTCAAAAGTCCTTATAGCGTGCGAGTCCCGAAAATTCCCGCGCGAGAGCAGCACTCGAAAGGAGACGCGAGTGCGAGGGGCGGGTTAGGGAATTAAAAAGGCAAGTTTTCCTCCGACCCTGGCTGCTTTGCCGCT